CATAAAACAAGTAAACATCAAACAGTAAACAAAAGCAAAGTCTACAAACATCAGCATCCTCCCCTGCTGATGAAGAGATGCAGCGAGTCTCTGTCCCCGTCATCTGCTGTTAGTCAGGTCATTCATCAAAATGTCAGCAGCAGCGAGCCGAGTGGAAACACAAAGGGCTGCTTTGGGTTTGGTTTCTGAGTACAGTAGAAGAGCTGCAGCAGAACCATTGTTCTGTAATTACCTGCTGTGAGGGCCTTAGCGGTCGGGGGGCAAGCGAGCGTTAACCTATTCAATGACTCACTGATTTTATTTGATTGGCTGAATAAGATTTATGGGCCGTTAAAAGGCCTTTGAGTCAACAATCCTCCTCGTCTTTACTCACCTCTCAGCTCTTCTACATGAAATAAGCATCAGTCAGACCTTAAAAGGACCCCGTTTCACTAGAATAAGGACCTGCTGTGACAGAAAGGACTCAGCCGTCTCCAGTTATTACAGTTATTAACATTTATAGTGTTGCAGTGTTAGTAGCAGTAAAGCTGAGTCATGCTTCTGCGTCTGCGTCAGTGCGGAGACACGCAACGCCATTATCCGTCCTTGCGGGCCTGCTGGAGAGCTCCGCAAGGACGCACGGAGTCGAGCTCTCTTTCCTAAACATCCATCCGTCGAGATGGACAACGCAAGCTTGTGATTGGTCAGGACGCCGCTGTCGTCTACACCGCCGCCATTGCGCTCTCAAAAACATAAAGAGAGCCGGCAGACACGGAGCAGCTTGAAGAATACCTCGCGAAAAAACTCTAAAAACATGAACGTTTAACTCATTCACTGCCAGCCGTTTCCTGATCACTAACGGCCTTTGCTGCCAGCGTTTCTCACCGTTTTATCGTTTTTTTAAGAGTCACAGAACGTTGCGCGCTAGCATGATGTCGATGCCAAAACAACCAAAACAAAGCAGAGACTCACCTCTTACATCAGGAAGATTCCGCACGTTTCGAGCTTTATCCGTTCTTTCATAATCCGTTGTCGAATTGTGATCGGCAGACGCTTTTCCGGTTCGCGCCTCACTTTTTTTTTAACAGGAACGGCCCAAAACGATCTCCTAACACATGGATGTGTTGCTTCCTGATCGTGTGATCTGTGACGTATGCGGATGAAGATCGGCTTCAGGGCTGAGATATTTGTTCTCTCAGCGCAGGGGCTCGTTCCGATGCTCAAACAGTAAAAAAATGCGAATGACAACTTTAGTTGTCATTGGCAGTGAATGAGTTAATTCCCTGTGACTGGAGGAGTGAAATATCCGCAGTAAGCGTTTTATTTGTGGACAGAAATGACAGGAAACGTGGGTTTAGAGGTGGCGAGCGCATGAAGAGGTGGATGAGGATGAAAGACAAATTTGTCCGTGTTAAAAAGTCTCTTATATACAAAAAAACACAATATAAACACACTATCTTGGACCGCAAACATGACAGGATACCACAGAACAGCGCTACGCCCTCTGTTGTCCTGGTGGGGAATTGCTTTGCAACACTCCACAGGAGACGGAGAAGTATGAGGGCAAAACGTCTCCGGTCGTGCGTGCGTCTCTCCTTGTTGGAGCTGACGGAGAAGCATGAATCAGGCTTAAGCATCAGTATTTAACCCCTTAGATTTCTTCTGTTTGCTTAAATGTTTAAAATAAGAAAACAAATATCAGACAAAGATAACCTGAGAAAATTTTACATTTTATAACAGCGAGAATCATTAATTCCCCACTTGTTATATCATGAATTAAGAAACCACTTCCAATCATAATATGTATGGCAACATGAAGAAGGCAAAAGATGTCAAAAAGCAACACATCAGGCCTCGTTCTATAACAACAGAATCCAGAACCGCACCCACATCTTTCAGGACTCAAGCGTTTGAGCTTAAAGGGGACATATTATGCAAAACTTTTGTGCTGCTGTGTGTCTCCAAACATGAAAAACATGAAAAACTACATAAGAATCCATCTGTCAGTGCTTTGTTTTAGGAACCATGTGCCTAAAACAAGCCGTCTCAAAAGGTCCCTGTTTGTGACATCACAAATTAAAGTAGAACCACCTCTCGTGTGCAATAGAGAGCTACTGTTGGAGAAACAGCAGCTCCGCGCCAAGCCCCTCCTGGACATCTGAGCTTCTCGCCTCATAGCAGCAAATCAGAGAATGGGTGGGCGTGGCCAGTAACAGCTTGCTTACCAGAGCCCTGAAACGACTCATTCTGGAAGGTACTGATACTGTCAAGAATTAAACTGCTAAAATGGCTTTATGTGAGAAGGATTTGGTGCAAATAACTTCATAAACATGTTGTGTATTGACCGTAGAACATGGGGGGGGGGGGGGGGGGTTGGACTGTCACTGAATGTTTTTAATAGAACAGTTTAATAGAGGCGGCTGCTTCAGGACCTGGACAACCTGCTGTAATTGATGGACTCTGAATTTCAATGTCAGAAATTCCAGAGGGAGAACATTTGACCTTTGACCTAAATCTCATAAAATAAATCATCATTTAAGAGCCCCATTTGGTATTTCCTCATGACTTCATGATATTTTGATATTTCCTTATATTTTGATAATCCGATCTGCAGCCGTCAGATGTGTTTAATTATTGTGTGCAGTTCGGGGCTCAATAATTAGACCCTGATTCCCCAGCAGCCAAGGCCACCGAACTACACACACACACACACACACACACACACACACACACACACACGCACACCTTAATTATCTAATGAATGAAGATTATTATTCGCACCTCTTGTAGATTGTGACCCTAATTAAACCAGGGGTGTGCTTGGAACATGACACCAAGTTAAAAACACTTTGCACACACACGCACACGCACGCACACGCACACGCACACGCACACACACACACACACACACACACAGGAAGTTTTCTGTGTTTCTGTCTTTGTGCTGAAGAATTTCATACCTTTTGTTTCCAAAACTTTGTGCAGTTAAAGCTTAAAAAGATTGATTTAAAGGCACACTTAGTAGTTTTTGCTTGCTTTGCACCCTCTAGTGTCCGTTTAGTGAAACACATCTCCTCATTCATCTTTTTAACAATGTCATCTAAAAGCTGAAATGTCTCCTCAGCCTTCATTAGCTCATCAGTCCAACAGATGGCGGCCCACCTCTCTGAAGTTGCAAGTGCGATATTCTGGCCACAGTGGGGGTCTGAGGGAGTTTTCATTGACCCTGTAAAGGGTCGTTTTAACACATACTGGCTCAAGAAAGTGATTTACAAATATGAAAAAGTTGCATCGTATGACTTTAAATCTTAATTCACTTCAGCAATCTCCTTTTAAACCAGAGACTATTTTGTTCCTGCTTAGTAAGAATCAAACCTAAATACCAGCATTGTTGTATGCATCATGGGATTTTTTATAACCAATCAGAGAAAAGGCAGAAATGCCGGCTGCATCGCAACGCTGTAGTTAGAAGAAAGGCTTTTAGTGCTTCTTCTTCTTGTGGTTTTAAAGACACGTCTAATCGATTTAGAACAGAGGAAAGAGCCGCGGCGAACTCCGTCTTCGTTGTTTAGGAATAACTGAACGTTGGAGTGTGTGATACGCTGCACAGCGCTGATTGGCTGGGTTAGAAATCTCAGGGGGCGGGGTTGTTTGAATCAGAGAGTAACGGCCAGACTAGGGTTTTTTAATTTATCACTCTTCATTATAGCGGAGCTAAAACTCATTTTTATGCAAACAAGTTAAAGGTTTTGTTAACAAACATAGCAGCCACACTGTTTTATCCAGCTTTAATGTTGCCATGGAAACAAAGGAAGTGATGATGCATCATGTGGAGTTACAAACCCTAAAGCTGTGTAGTGTGTGGATCATCATGACGACTGAACAGGAAGTGTAATGGCTGGTTCCATGCAAATGTTAAGTCCCACCCCCTCCATGTAAACCAAAAGGACCGGGCTAAAATATTAAATATCACCTCAGATCTTTTTTAGGTGCTTGCCCTGGCTGCTACGTTCAAATTTTCATCTTTCTTACACATTTAATAGCAATTACTCATTTGATGCTGGGAAAAATGAAGCAGAATGTGAATGGTAGTGAAGGCGACACTTTTAGCCCCACATCTGAGGTCGTCGGCGTCTTCCTCCGCTGATCCGGGTCCGGGTCGTGGGGGAAGCATCCCAACTAGGGAGCTCCAGACCGTCCTCTCCCCGGCCACCTCCACCAGCTCCTCCGGCAGGACCCCAAGGCGTTCCCGGACCAGATTGGAGATGTAACCTCTCCAACGTGTCCTTGGTCGACCCGGGGGGCTCCTGCCGGCAGGACATGCCCGAAACACCTCCCCAGAGAGGCGTCCAGGAGGCATCCTGACCAGATGCCCAAACCACCTCAACTGACTCCTTTCGATCCGGAGGAGCAGCGGTTCTACTCCGAGTCCCTCCCGAATGTCCGAGCTCCTCACCCGATCTCTAAGGCTGAGCCCGGCCACCCTACGGAGGAAACTCATTTCGGCCGCTTGTATCCGCGATCTCGTTCTTTCGGTCATTACCCAAAGCTCATGACCATAGGTGAGGATTGGGACGTAGATCGACCGGTAAATCGAGAGTCTGGCTTTCTGGCTCAGCTCCCTCTTCACCACGACAGATCGGCTCAGCGTCGATCTCCCGATCCCTCCTACCCTCACATCTGAGGTCATTTCAGAAATAAAACATCGCTCATCTATGTGTGAAAACGAAAGAGTTAAAGTAGAAATTTACAGTGAAACTTTCTGCTTTTATGTGAATTCTAAGTGAATCCACTGACTTTTCCCCACCGAGTCTTCCTCACCACACAAACCAAGCCTCTGATGGGGTTGTCTAATTAAATCCGCCACTATGAATCCCAGCTCCTAACGGACTCAGCCGAGCCACTCATTCACACCACTGAACCTGGCTTTCTGCCATGCCGGTGGAGATTTCAGCAAGCCTTTTAATTCCCTCCACAGTGAACAAAACCTGTTCTGTTTTTCTTTGTCTCTTTGTTTGCAGATAGCTTGTCGCCTCCCGTCAATGTGACCATCAAAGAGCTGAAAGCGAACTCAGCGGTGGTGTCATGGGACATCCCCGATGGAGACCTCGTCATCGGCTTTGCTATCACACAGCAGGTGTGGTTCAGAAACGAAACAAGATGGAGATGTTTCTCTCTTTTGTTGGATTTCTTGTTTTTAAATTAAAGTAAATGTAGAGAATTAAACATTAAGCAAGTTTAAAGGAGTCCTAGAGCTCAAAGCCACATTTACCAGCTTGGAGTGTCAAATGTAGCATCCCAAAACATCTCTGACCTGCTTTTCTATGTTTTTCTATTAGTGGTGTTGTCATAGCTGAAAAATGGTTTGTTCAGAGAAAAGCTGGTCCAACACAGCACCAGGTTAGCATATCCCAACTCAATTCAATATCAGCAACTTACAAACTATGGTTGTGGTACAGCTAGTAGCTTGAGCTACTGCTAATGCTAGCCTAAGCTACTGCTGATTTTAGCACACGTTTCTAAGTTTTCTATTGCATAAAAGTTGTTCTAGGACCCCTTTAAACTCCTAAAATATAATTATCTTTGACAAACTGGTTGGAAGTTATGTTGCAAACACATAAACACAACATAAACTTGTGCTTTTCCCCTCCAGCAAAATACATAGAAATACGCACCTGTATGGCTTTAGGGCCGGTGGTGTGCGAGATGAATACAAACGAGAAGTTTTGTTCTACGTCAACTGGAAATCCGATATTGCTGCTTTGATGGATTGCAGAGATGATTGAGCTTCCTGTTTGTCCGTTTTGAAAATGACACAGCTGCGCTGTTTTTGCCAAGTTGTAAAAACTTGGAAGGACCAATCAGAATAACAAAAGCAGATTTGGCAACAAGCCAGAGTGACCTCACCTTTGACATCAGCAGTTCATGCCTGTAGTTAGATTACATAAATTTCTGTTTTCTGCTCCAACAGAAGAAAGATGTTCGCATGCTGCGGTTCATCCAGGAAGTTAACACCACCACACGCTCCTGTGTATTATGGGACTTGGAGGAGGAGACAGACTACATTGTGCATGTCCAGTCCATCAGCATGTCTGGGACGAGCCCGCTGAGCGAGCCGCTGCGCTTCCGAACACAGAAGGAGGCCGAAACCCAAGCATCTAAGAGCAAAGGTGAAGCCAAGAGACACTCACTCGTATTTAGTCGTACAACTGTTGTGCAAAAAGAAAAAAAAGAAATGAAAAGGGAAAATCTGTCCATTTTTAAGACACGAGTGCAGAGGGGACTTGGCCTTTTGACGATGTAGTGACAGATTTTGGCCAAAAACCAAAAGGAATCAATAGACACACAAAGCGTGAAATGAAATTTCACAACAGAGTGCCTCAGCTCTCCCCTTCTGACCACGGCGAAGGAGCAAAACGCCTGAAGGGGATGCATACATCACAGTGTATTGATGTTCCTCCACAAGCCTCACTCTGTATGCACTCTGCACAGCTGCACTGTAAACCAAAACGAGGAAGGGCATTTATCAGACAGAGAGGAGGCAGTAGGAAGCTTTAAAGGGTGGAGAATCAATGTGCTTTTGGCTGAGGCACCGCTCCATCTATTCCTCCTCTCATTTACACTCCTCTCTCTTATGAGCTGCTGCCGTTCTTTGATACTTCACAGGGTGCAGAGCCAGAGGGAGTCTGGACTTGTGCTGAGGTGGTAAGTGTGCTGCCAGAAAACATGTAGAACATTAAAACAGTCACCGCCAACTAGTTGAGAGATGCTCCGGTGGCCACTGAGGCCTAATTAGCACGGGTTTGTGTTGTCCCTTTGTTTTATCTTCAGTGGGGAAGAATTAGGAGACATTCGTCATGGCAACAGTTTTGGAAAAAGCAGCTTCTTTTGTGTCTTTAAGCGTGTTTTTACAATATGGCATAGTTTTTATCAAAAATCTCCAGAGACAGCTTGTGTTTCATTGTTTACTCGATAAACAAACATGTGGCAAAAAAGATAAATGTAACCACAAGGTACCACAGAGACCTGTCATGGTGTCTTTTGACCCGTATGAAAGAATCACATGTATAATAGGTAAGATTTTTACAAACGTTTATTTTAAAGGAAACTAAAAAGAAACTGAGGGCGCTGTTCCACAAAACGAGGCAGGACGAAACTCAGAAATGTGCAGGATCTGAGGACGGGGGAGGCTGGTCAGTTCTGGTCTGGTGTAGGGTGGGTCAGGCTGAGGCGAGTAGGCTGTAGTCGAGGAAGATCCAGTGTTGGTGAGCGATGCAAGGACGGACACACTTCAGGTGGGCTACGGCTGAGACAAAATCCAAGGTGAGTACTCTGTAGACAGGGAGGTCTGTTTTAGAGCAAGTGAAAAATATCCACCTGACCACCTGAGTCTGAGCCTGACCCTGAGCCTGAGTCTGAGTCTGAGTCTGACCCTGACCCTGAGCCAGGACAAGGCTGGAGGTTACCCAAAGTGAGAGTATCAACCAAAGCTGAAGTGTGGAAACCTTAGTTCCCCGGGCCTTGCTGATGAGGAAATCAGCCAAAACTGAGGCTCTCCGACACGCCCACCTGCAACAAGCTCAGAGGAGCAAACATGATGAAAACTGATGAATCCTTGTAGACCAGCAGAACCGTGACAAGACCATAAAAGACAAAGTGAGAGGGAGGTCCAAAGCAGTGGCATGTCCAGATCTTTTAAAATGAGGTTGCCCAGGTGAGGCACAACTTTGTGCATGGGTGGCACCATTGGTTATGTTTTTTTTGTGTTACCCCCAAGCCTTCTGTGGACAATGAAAAGCCTATTTGAAGGTAAATTAGTGTGGTGACACCTGGGGTGGCCAATCAGATTCCAAGGGTGGCATGTGCTACCCCAGGCCACTCCCTGGACACGCCCCTGGTCCAAAGACGGTTCTGCTTATCTTGACTGACCCGCCCACATCATCCAGTAAAACTCCATTTTTGACAAAACACTAAAAATATTTCGCTTAAAATCAGTTTTAACAATTTGCTTGTTATGTTTAACCATAAAAACGTCTGCAAACAAATACTGATCTGTATTAAAAGCAAGCTAACAAAGTATTACGATTGGTTCTCTCACACAAAAACTGTTTTATTGGAGCCGGTTACTTAAATTTTTACTTTAATGTATTTTTTTTATTTGGAAAATTTGTGTACATGTCTTGTGTAAATATCACAAACTATTTGCAACATAATTAAATATATTGTTTGGTAAACACTTGCTACTAACATATAACTGACTTTAGTGAAATACACCTTACAAGCCCAATCAATACTAAAGTTAGTCATTAAAATACTTCAAAATTAAATGTACAAAATTCAAGTCCTTCCTTTCTAAAGCTGATAGTTCTTCATCAAAGCAGACATTTCAAAATCACTTTAAAGGAAAATACTTATATTTTTCTGTTTTTATATGATTTTTTTGTGCAGATTTCTCCATTTAAAGCCACATTAATAATATTTGTGTGCAAATTTTGATCATTTATTTTAAAAAGCCACCATGCAAAAGGCATTAGCAGGTTTTGCAGATATGAATAAAGTCCACAGATACACGCGATTCACAAATCTCCACATAGAGCAGATTTTTATGAGCCATCACAGCAAACCTTCGTCTTGTTTCCGCTGCTTTCTGATGATGTTTGTTTAATTAGCTCAGCTGGGATGGAACAGAGGAGGAAGTCTTTTTTTCTCCCAGTAAACATTTTGTAATTCAATGGGAAATCAGTGTTAGTGTGTTTAGTGACATCTGCTTGAAATTACCAACCTGCGAGTCTGCGATTCTGTTTAAACAACCGTTTAACAACACTGTAACCCCAAATACGTTCACTGAACTCAAAATTTATGAGGAAGCTGATTACCTAATAATTTTAAGTTAACTTATTTAAAAAATATAAGTTTGCCATAACTTAAAAAATATGACCTGAATAAAATCAAAGCATTTAACTACTCCAACCTATAACTTGGTACTTAAGCAACTTACAAAGTTTAATTTCACTAAACTTGCATATTTCATTTTATTTAACTTTATTACATGTTTTTACTAACTTAAATAATATAACTTATATGAACTCTAAATGGACCTATTATACCCTAACCCAAATAAGTTGAATTTACTTAAAAATGACAATGTCACATGCTGGTGAAGGCAGTAACTAACACCAGATCATGACTCACACACCCATAAATGCTAACAGCCAATGAAAGTGGGTCACTCAAAGTCAAGTCAAGAGCATCTGGTGTGAACAACCACAGTATTATTAACAATGGGATGGCACAGCCGTACAGCATTACTTTGACCAACCTCCTCGCTTATGGGGCCAACATGATACAAAAAGTAACACCACATCTGCAACACTGAATGAAATAATAACTGAGAACAACAATCCTCCACAATGAACATGCATAAACACCCCTAAATAGAGCTAAATAACTGAAAACATGACTACCCACAATGCACCACGCCCACCAGTTGTTTATTGTTCCTGAAATCAAACAAAATTGCTAGTTCGTGGTTGTTTTTCTTGTAAATCCACAAATATTTAAAATAATTTACAAGTCTGTTTATCACACTTTAGGGTTGACGTAAAGATGAATGGAATAATATAGAAACATAAAATAGTAAATCAATTATTTTTTGGTTAACATTACTTATTAAAGTTAAGTTGTCCTTTATTGATTAATTTAAGTTATGCTTACTTAAAGAAGAAATAGTTCAGATTAATTAAAACGTTCTTAAAACAAGGAAAAGGTTGAACAAGCTCAACACATTTGAGTTCTAAAAACATTTTTTATTATGAGTTTTATCTACTCAGTATATTTGATTATTTGAACTTTGGGGTTTACAGTGAAACACAAGAGAAAAGAGAGTAAAATGAGGCAGAAAAGTGAATAAATTAGTTTAAAAAACACAATTTCAGTTAAAAAAAAAAGAAAAGAAAAAGATTGTTTAAAAACCGGGTTTGAAGTTCAGCTTAACTTTGTTTTCAAAAGTGTGTTAATAGAAATCTGATTTTAAAAGTTTAATTAATTTACTGGTGATGTTTAGAAGGTCCAGCTGTCATCTCGATGTGAGCGGAGAACATCCCGAGGAAAAGTAGTTTCCACTCTTTTCAGATGCTTCGGTTCGGCCGTGAAGGATGAGCCTGAAATTCCTGATTATTCTGGGCCTCTTCTCGTTTGATCTTTATTGATTGATTAAACCTGCAAGAGATCCAAAAAGAGTTAAATGGATCAAAACAAATCATTAGCTGTGCACAAGGCAGGAATTATTGATTTGAAGTCAGAGGGAATAAAAAAGGTGTGATGGAGAGAAAAAGGCAAAAAAAAAGAAAATAAATCATCCCGCTGGAGACACACAAATGGTCTGTTTTCAAACATGTTCGCCCTCGCTGGGAAAATAATGTGAACAAGATGTAGAAACGTTGAAAATAAATGATGCTGCAAGCACGGCTGATTGGTCCCCTTAGATCTAATATTCCTCACTAGTGCTGCGGGAGGGGAAATAACAAAAACAGCTGAGGTTTTTCATTTTTCCTGTCATCTGTGCATCAAAGATGGGCTTCCAGAGATTGCTGTGATATTTTTCACTCAGCTGCATCTGAAACAAACTGGAAAAACTCCTGAACGTGCACAAGAGACTAAAGGGAGGAATCCTTTGAGAGATTAAAAGAGCCTGAAGTTTCTCTGAGATGTGAGTTAATCTCATGTCAGAGCAAAGCTAAAGCATCTGCTGTGGTTTGGACAAAAAATAATCATCTTCTTACACTGCTGCATGCTCTCAAAGTCTAAAAACCATGAAAAGATCAGCTAGAAAACTTCAGGTGGTTTATTTAAACAAACAGCAGGCAGCACCAAGTCCCAAGCTGCAAGAGATCCAAGAGTTCCTTCATGTTCTGACCAGGTTCAAGGGCCCGGAATGAAGGTGACACGCCGTGTACGGTTAATGTATCAAACCTAATTGTAGCCATATTAATTTGTCATCAGGATCCAGCGAGCTGTTGAGCTTGATTATATAATTCAAGGCAGAAGAGAGCAACTGCTTAGCTGAAGTGCTTAGCTGCTGGAGTGTGAACCTGGGAGCTGGGACTGAAAGCTCTGTTTCAGTAACTCTAGGTCAGACGCAGCAGCGCGAGAAAAAGGCAGATTACAGGCAGTTTTTCACCCAAACCCTCTTCTTTTATTAGCATGCACCTGTCATCCTGTTTTAACTCAAAACTTAAAGACAACGGGAGAAAATGATCTCACGGACGCTACAGGAAAACTGAAAAAGTGGATGAAATTTTAAGCAGCTGCAGCTACGACAGTCAGAGACGCACTTTGGATGAAGTTCGACAAACTTAAGGAGGACAAATCCAGACTTTGAGCGGCGGCTGTCTTAAAAACGATTGTCAGTGAAACCCCGAGTGGAGAAAATGACAAAGTGCTGCGGTTCAGTAAAGTCTGCCGTTGCTCTTCGGCACGTTTGAAGCTGCAGAGAGAAAGATCATTAACGGGGTCCCTGCAGAGAGCAGCGGTTTGATAAGAAACACCACCCTGAATAGTTTATGAGTTGAGCTCAGCTGCAGCACAATCAACCAATCTGCTGCTGTGGCCCCCAGACTCTGGACCCACCCCCCTGAGCCTGAGATCAGTGGACTCAGTGGTCTCCTTTAAAAAGCAGCTAAAACTCACCTGTTCAGGCTTTTGTGTGACCTTCGTCACCACCCTTTCCTTATTCTGCTCTTATTCCGCCTTTCCCAGGAATTACTGATTTCCCTCTTTCCTGTTCACTTTTTCTCTTCATTTCCTTACTTTTTTTTACTATTTTTATTATTTTCTCATTTAAACATATTTTAATCATTTTTTAAATCTTTTTTATACTTTAATTTAGTTTGTTTTTGTGAAGCGCCTCATGATTTTTATCTTGAGAGGCGTTATATAAAAGATCGTTTTCTTTCTTTCAATTCAAGTTTATTTATAAAGCGCCAAATCACGACAAGTCATCTCAAGGCACTTCACATAATAAACATTCTAATACAGGTCAGTTCATTAAGCCAATCAGAAATAATGTTTCCTATATAAGGAACCCAGCAAATTGCATCGAGTCACTCACTAGTGTCAGTGACTATACAGCAATCCTCATACTAAGCAAGCATTTAGCGACAGTGGAGAGGAAAACTCCCTTTTAACAGGAAGAAACCTCCAGATGATCCTGGCTCAGTATAAGCAGCCATCCTCCACGACTCATTGGGGATCAAGAAGACAGAGCAGACACACACACACACACACACACACACACACACACACACACACAACATATATACCAAGTAGTGTTTCTATGGTTACATTGTGATTTGTGTGTGTGTGTGTGTGTGTGTGTGTGTGTGTGTGTGTGTGTGTGTGTGTGTGTGTGTGTGTGTGTGTGTGTGTGTGTGTGTGTGTGTGTGTGTGTGTGTGTGTGTGTGTGTGTGTGTGTGTGTGTGTGTGTGTGTGTGTGTGTGTGTGTGTGTTTGTGTGTGTGTCTGCTCTGTCTTCTCGATCCCCAGTGAGTCGTGGAGGATGGCTGCTTATACTGAGCCAGGATTCTCTGGAGGTTTCTTCCTGTTAAAAGGGAGTTTTCCTCTCCACTGTCGCTGCATGCTTGCTTAGTATGAGGATTGCTGTATAGTCACTGACACTAGTCAGTGACTTGATGCAATTTGCTGGGTTCCTTATATATGAAAAATTATTTCTGATTGGCTTAATGAACTGACCTGTACTGGAATGTTTATTAGGTGAAGTGCCTTGAGATGACTCCTGTCGTGATTTGGCGCTATATAAATAAACTTGAATTGAATTGAATTGAATTGATTTCTTAGTAAATATTCTATTTGGTGAGAGATAAACTTTATTGTATTTATCCTAGTGGATCTATAATTAAACGGGTAAACTAGTAGTAGCACATTCAATGTCAAAGAGAGTAAAAAGTTATCAGGAGAGGGAGAATGTTTTAGTGGTTAGCAGCAGTGTGCTAGCTGATGGCCCCCTCCATGAGGCCACCACAGCTCAGCAGAACATCATTGTAGCTTCTTCTGGGGAGAAAAACACTAAGAGAAAAAAATAAAGTTAACAGCTGAAATAGCAGGAAATAATACAGTTAAAGAGCAGATTGTAGAAGAAAGTAGTCACTCCTGATTTATGTATATATTAAATCAGACTCATTACTAATGTGACATAAAACATGATCTGTTTCTTTAATTTTAAGCTTAAAACTAAACAAAATTTTAAAATATGGAAAAAAGTCAATCTTGGCTCTTTTGGGGTGTCTACACAATAAACGGGAAATCTTTGTTTATTTTTCTGTTTCCTGCTTTAATTTGAATGGTCCTGCTTTAATAATCCACGTCTCGTTGCATCCTGGCTCCTGTAGACGAAGTGACGATGGAGGAAGTGGGCCAGTCCACCCAGCTGAGGGCGGGGGAGCTCATCATCATCGTAGTGGTACTCATTATGTGGGCGGGTGAGGACAAACTTGTTTAATAAACCCCCCAAACAGGCTTCTGCATTTCTATTTTAAGTTCACAGGGAAAATAATAATGAGCCGAGCTCTAATGATCTCTCCTTCCAGGCGTGATCGCCCTCTTCTGTCGCCAGTATGACATCATCAAAGACAACGAGCCCAACAACAACAAGGACAAAGCCAAAAACTCGTCTGAGTGCAGCACTCCTGAGCACCCGACAGGGGGGCTGTTGCGCAGTAAGGTATAACCACCCCCACCACCCCTCCTTCCCCTCCTCTCCCTGGGTGCCTCCCCCCTCAGCGACACTGGGCAGGTGAATGGTCCCGGCCACTTCTAGACTTTTTCTCCACCGACACTTCACTGACTCTCATAGCGCCAGCTTCAGGCTAAACATGACGCCATCACGTGCATGACGGACTCAAGTCACAGCTTCTATTCCAACACGCAGCCTCACACCACGCTAAAACGCTAAAGTAGAATGCAAAAGTCTTCAGCCACCCTTTATTTCTGCTAAAAGACACGTGACACGTTAAACCAAGGTGTGTTCGCTCCTTTAATCAGTCAGTCTGCCTCTGTGGCAGGCGGAATGTAGTCACAGTGCTGTTTGGTATCCGGGTGTGTACCACACTAACTACAGAAACTATAGAAAGCGTTGAGACTCGTCTCAGGAGATCAGAAAGACGGTTATTGACCAGCGGGTTAAAATTAAAGGCTGGAAGACTGTCCTGAAGGGGCTGACCCCGGCTTTCCACAGGAGCCGTCAGCAGGACGTTACTGCAGCAGCACGTCTTGCTTGGCCCTTCCCACAAGACGCGAAGCAGCAGGGGAGCAGCCGTCACCGACCGAGCACGAAGTCACACGAGTGACTTTGTCAGTAAACACAACAACAAGCAGGAGAAAACTACAACATGGCTCCAAAAGGTTTGTGTTTTATGTTCTGTCTGTTTTATAATCGCCAATACGGACCTGAAAAACAAAGGAGACCTCTAGCTAGGTGATAACTTCTCACGGGGACGCACAGTTAGTAACTTTTTTTAAAAGTAAAGCAACCGGAAGGCAATACGTTCTTTATTCTGAAAATCTCGGGAGCTTCTCTCCATTTCAGCGTCCGATTTCCTGTCTTTCCTTCCCCAAAAATGTCGAACTTGACCCGTTTCAGAGGCGTCGCGCGTAAAAAATAGAACCGGTGCGTAAAGGCCGCGACATGCTGCTCCTGAGACGCGGCCGACTCGCGCTGCTGACGGCTCCAGTGGAAAAGGTTCTGTTGACCACAGCGGTTCCTATCAGCAGCTATGACGTGCCGCTGACGGCTCCCGTGGAAAGCCGGGGTCAGGGCTTGATGTGTTATGTCTACCTGGTGTTAGATCGCACCATTCGTCACTGTTTTTAGCCACGGTGAATTTAAGGGAAATCGACCAAGAGCAACACCAAGGTTTGCAGCAAATCAAGGCCAAGAAGGGTTTGTTCTGAGTCAGCGGACTCCAAAGCACTTTACACTGTAGTCACCCATTCGCACGCTGGTGGTGAGGAGCTGCGTTGTACCCGCAGCCGTCGTGGGGCGCCCTGACAACGGCGAGGCTGCCGTGCGCAGGCGCCACCAGTCCCTCCGACCACCACCAGCAGGCAAGAAGGGCAATGTGTCTTGTCCAAGGAAAAAAAATACATTTTAGAGTGACAAGAAGTGTCTCCTGGGAAATTAGGGGTGGTTTTAAACTTTTGCACAGCACTTGAGTCCTTGCACTCTGCTGCTGCAAACATCAACAGTCAGAGGCATGCTCACACTCATTAATGTTCCTTGTAAAAGTTGGGTTCTGTCTTCTCATACCACTTTTTATTCAAACAGTTCCCCAAGAACAACAACAACAACAGGATGCCATCTGTCAACATCATCGAGGTGTGACTGCCAAGACGTCTTCCCTTCTCTCAAACGACTGAAACAAGCTAGCCCGTTTTAGGCCCATCTGCTGCTGCAGCATGACGCTGGGACCTTGGGCCCCACGGCGGCGCCGTGTCCTTTAACACGGGTCCTGGTGCTGAGATGAACCTGCGGGACTCCGGGAGTCGAGGCCAGGCTAAGCCGGGTCCGTGGAGAAACTGCAGGGCGAGTTTGGCGACTGTTCTGGGCTCTGCGACGAAACCACGGGGTAGCAGTTGTTAGAGCCGCTGAGGAGAGACCGCTTTTGAACCAACCCCAGGGACCAAGGCTGATCAGCAGATCCCAGAATCTCTATCTTCTCTGGATGGAACTAGAACGTTGTCATATTTCATCCTTTCCTCTAATTTCACTCAGAATCACCTGTGTTGTGTGCTTTTTTTAGTCAGCACTTAGGTTTTTTGCTCTTAAATCCTGGTATCTGGATATTTTTAAGGTACCTTTTTACAGATAGACTATTTGCTGTTCTGCTAAGCTCTTATTCCCCCTTCGGGAGTTCAGGTGGCCCTTTGGTAACTGAGGAGCTTCTTCTACATGCTGGAAAGACACCCGAGCAGCTTTAGAGGCCGCAGCCAAGTACGCTGAATTTGTTTGAGACTATGTATGGAATCCCTCTCATCTTTTTCATGCATTTTATTACAGACGTCTCAAATGTAACACTCCACACGCAGAACGAGCCTTTAGAGTTTCCTGGTGTCGTTGGTTCTGAGGGTGATGGACTTCACCGTTTTCTTGTGAGGAGCAGAACTCCTACAATGGAGTCCATTCATCTAACTAATTAGCTAAACGGGGCTGAACTCTGCAGATGTTTGCAGAGAGACGTGCCTCTGCAGAGATGCTAAAGAGAGACCTTAAAGCAGCAATAACAGCCCTCAGCGGACGCAAAAGGAACTAAAGCAACCTCTCAGCATGTGACCGATGAGCAAACTGCACATCCGGTACGGTGGAAGAAGTCTTGGTTTTCAGAAAATCCAAAACAAAAAAAATCTTTTAGCGCTGTTATTTAAAAAAAAAACTTGGCAAGCATGAAGAAACACAAAAAACTTTTTTATGGGCCTAACCTGCAAGCCTGAGACTTCATTACGGCATTCCGAACAGATGTCGAGACAGAAGGGCTTCTATGGAGACTTTTCCACTTCTTCTGACCCAAACTCCATGTTTGAGAGGCTTCATGTGGTGGTGAGGAGTTTAATGATGCATCCGAGGGCTGAATCAAACTCAGTAGTACTGCCTTAAAAATAATTGTAATGGATTCTTTACATTTTTAAGGCCTTGTATCTCACATTTGTGGCATATATTATTTACCATTTACTCAGTATTTAAATGTGGTAAGAAATATTACACGGCGTTTGGAGGAGTTTGATGTGTAAATACATTTTAAATGTCGTTCTGCTTCCTTTTAGAGCTTTTTATGGAGTAAACCAACCAAAATGAGTCACTTGCTTTTTGCTCGTATGGAGGACTCATCCTGCCAGAATGGTCCATAAACAAATTAAAAATAAATAACACATGTTGATGACATTTTAAATAAACAATGAAATAACATTTTTAAATGTCGGGGGAGAGGTCCTACCTCAAGTGGAGGAGTTTAAGTTTCTCGGGGTCTTGTTCACGAGTGAGGGTAGGAGGGATCGGGAGATCGACAGGTGGATTGGTTCGGCGTCTGCAGTGATGCGGACGCTGAGCCGATCTGTCGTGGTGAAGAGGGAGCTGAGCCAGAAAGCCAGGCTCTCGATTTACCGGTCCATCTACGTCCCAATCCTCACCTATGGTCATGAGCTTTGGGTAATGACCGAAAGAACGAGATCGCGGATACAAGCGGCCGAAATGAGTTTCCTCCGTAGGGTGGCCGGGCTCAGCCTTAGAGATAGGGTGAGGAGCTCGGACATTCGGGAGGGACTCGGAGTAGAACCGCTGCTCCTCCAGATCGAAAGGAGTCAGTTGAGGTGGTTTGGGTATCTGGTCAGGATGCCTCCTGGACGCCTCCCTGGGGAGGTGTTTCAGACATGTCCTGCCGGCAGGAGGCCCCCGGGTCGACCCAGGACACGTTGGAGAGGTTACATCTCCAATCTGGTCCGGGAACGCCTTGGGGTCCTGCCGGAGGAGCTGGTGGAGGTGGCCGGGGAGAGGACGGTCTGGAGCTCCCTAGTTGGGATGTTGCCCCCACGACCCGGACCCGGATAAGCGGAGGAAGACGACGACGACGACATGTGGAAATAATTAATACCAAGTTTTATTTCTTTATTTCTCGATATATCCCTGGGTTTGACTGATTAGTGTTGTTAGCCTCAAGGGAACCTGCTGGCTTCATTATCACGCAAGCCGCTTTGGACAAAAGCGTCTGCTGAATACATACACATATATGTGTATTTACTTATTTTCTTCATATGTTCACATTTTTCCAAATTTGTTGTTTTTGTTTTTTTATTTCCAAAATGTTTCTATATTGGTCTGTTTTGCAGGATGAGCCCTCTGTAGCACTCGTCCTTTTTATCTGGAAAGCTTTTGCAAAACGCTTCTCTAATTATGTTTCCATGTCTTTGTGCCGTTTATGTTCAGTTAGAGGACTCTTCTCTTGTTTTGGAGTTCAGGAGGTGGTTTGGTGAACGCTGCCGCCGTAAACTAACAGCTCATTTACTGTAAACACATCAATCCATGAGTGCGTGCAAAAACAGGCCAAAGCCCCTCCAGCCTTGAGTACATCTGAGTGTGTGTGTGTGTGTGTGGGGGGGGGGGGGGGGGCAGGAAACGGAGAGCAGTGACTAACTCAACAGCTGCTTTTACCACTCACACGTTAAACTTTTCACTTAATGAAAGTGGAAGACTAAAAAAAGACGCCTGAGCTGCTCTCAAGAGCGCTGACTGATGTCAAGAGTAAAGCGGAGACTGGTCACTCATTCAGCTGCCGCCAGGATCAGCACCGAACACGACTCAAGGTTAAAGCCATCCTTCCCCAGGAACACTACCCCCCTCCCCCATGAGGCACTCTAATCGATACACATCCATCCACGCCGTTAGTTAGTCACGAGTGTTTTCATGTATAAAATCAGTGTTTACATTACTCAGCTGTTTAAATGTGAACTTTCTTCTCCTCCATGAAGCGATGCTGCTGTAAACGACCAGATCAGGTCCCACACAGGCGTTAAGTATTTAAACTGGTCTTTTACAGATTTTAGTGCAATGTTTGATTTCTACGTGGAGCTGATTGGTCTGAGATTTTATGTTGGGTGATTTATCCACATATTTTAAAATAGGAGTGGAAAAATCCTCCGGAGTGCCGTTTAGAGCTGAAACGTGAACAAAGGAGACTTGATTCACTGGATTTGTCTTTTTGTAGGTTGGTTAGAAATATTGGTTAAAATGCATCAAAACCTTGCAAGATAAAAAAAACTAAACTTGCACTTAAAGAGCAAGTCACCCCCAAATCAACTTTTTTTTGCTGATAAACGGCACAATTAGACACTCGCTTATTTAGTTTATCAGCAAATAAAAAGTTGATTTGGGGGTGACTTGCTCTTTAAATAAGTGAATGCTGGTTCTTGGGTTAAACCAAATGTCATCATTTCTTCCTTCCCTGAGGCACTCATCCTTACTTCACTGACTTTTATCCAAATTTTTTTCATTTGAGGTACACGTTTTGCACTAAACAGATCATTAAACCCAAAGGTGTTTATAAAAACACACACAGGCAGCACTGCTTAACGATTCAGATTAAAACAAGGACGTGCACTTCCTCTATCGCTCTACAAATGGTGACGACTTAAAAACATTCCACTTTAGCCATTTGAGATCAAACCCCTTTAACCGGAGGATCTGGTTTTAGTGGAACTAACACAATTTGTTCTTGTTTGAGCGTAAAAAATAACAAAAGTGCTTGGCTGTGACAAAAAAGCAAGCTGATAGAGAACGAATTTGCTCTCCCAGCCCACGTTTCGCCCGGGTTTAGAAAAACAAGGAATGAGCTCTTCAAGCATGGTTTCAACAAACAAGAATCAACTCCTTTATTAGTGCAATGGTTTAAGATCATGTGGTGCAGCAGTCATGAGGGCTAGCATGGTTCAACTATTATGCACAAGATTTACAAACGGTGTATGCTTACTTGTAAATGCTTAAATGAAATAAAGTTAAAATGTTTTCTATTGAAAAATGGTTTGGTGTGCTTTTAACTGTGGAACAAGGATGTTAAACAAATGCAGCACATCTGCGTAAAAAGACAAAAAAAGCAAACAACCTTTAGTACAAGAAAATGTTTTTCAAAATTTCAACTCTATAAAAAGTCCTGGTGTTTGAAACCAATAAACACCAATGTGAAGAATATAAAAACTCCTAAAACATGCATTTATTTAGTAAAACATCTACGAACAGCAGAAAAACAAACCACAAGGAAAGAATGCAACACAGCAAACCTAAAAGCGTGTTAGTCCAACAGAAAGCGCTAATAGGAATTGTTTTTCCCGAAGCGTTTATAGTGGGGGGAATTCTTCACCCGCCACTCGCCGAGAGTCACTGCAGACCTCTCGCTGCCGAAGCGCTTTTGGTAGTTCCTGGAAGACAGAAGAGTGTCTCAGATGCAGATTTGTCTCCTAGTTGGGAACCTAAAGTAGATAACACACCTGCATGTGAGATCAGAGGGGTGTTGCCACTGGGAGCCATTAGAGCCCGTCTGATCGGCCACGTGGGTCATCAGGGTCAGGAGCTCGCTCACGAATCCTGTGAAGGAAAATATGTTAGAAATGATGAGTGGTTCAGAAGGCAGAGGACTTTGAGTGATTAGGCTCTACCGTCCAAAGAAGGAGAGGGGAAGAGGAGAAGCATGTGCAGAAGCTGGAATGGACGAAGGAAAGTGTCCGGTGTGATAAAAGGTTTCCGGCAAGAATGAAAGAAAACACGTAGAAGACTAGTGATGTACAGGTTTGGGCATCGAGCAGCGACTGGAACCGGGACCGACTGTTAGTTTTTCCTGGAATCGTTCAAAGTTTTTTATTTCGATTCCTAGAATGCCGACCGGAAGACGAATCCGCGGCCGATCTCTGTGGAAAAATAAACATGATCTGCAAATTGTGATCAACGCTTTTCAGAGCTGATCACACCAGCTGTGTGTGTGCAGCACCGAGTCCCCCCTCCCCCCACCCGGCGCGCAGCGGCCAGATATAAACAAACGCGTCTGCCGAACTTTTACTCCGTAATGTAAACTTTAACTCCTGCAGCGTAGAGGATACGTGTTAAATACGTCAACACGGTGGATTTAATAGAAGCTTTAAAGAACAAACTCTGGACGGTGTGAGGCGAGTTTGTCTCACTGCAGAAATAAAAACACACACGGAGCGTCAGCAGTCAGACTCGTGTGTGTATGTGTGTGTGTGTGAGTGAGCGTCAGATGGCTGAACAATAACCTGTAGAATAATTAAAGTCATCATGCTAGAGCAGCTTCTGTGTGGTGGACCACACCAGCTTCTGCCACAATAAATAATAATAATAATAATAATAAATCACACACAAAGCTGTGAACATTTTAATTTCCTTTCTGAACTATTTCTGTTGAGTTTTAATGTATAAAATCTGTTAGATTGTTACTGACAGCAGCTACATTTAAGTTTCACTTCCTGTTGTGACTGAATGCTGCTGCAGCATGGAGGCGTAGTTCTCAGTCATCCTGGACGTGATCATCCTGAGAGTTTCAGCTGAAAACAGCTGGACGTTTCTGGATGTGTTGGAGACATTTAGCCTCTCATCCCAGAGGCTTCTTCCACACTTTAGTTGTGGTCAGAAACAAACACGCTGGTTGTGCTGCAAGTCTTTTTCTTTTTGTCTCCAAAACATGTTTTTGTCTAAATGAAGGTGATGTTGTTGTTCATAGAGTTAAAATTCATGTTGAAGTTCAGATTATTTCATCAAGTAGGACCTCTGGTTAGCTGGCTCGTGTTAAACATGTCGTGTCTTCAAAGAACCGGAATCGAAACGAGGAATCGGAATTGTTTAAAATCAAACGACGCCCAACCCTAGTGGTGTATGGTTTCAGAAGCCAGAACTCAAGATGTTGAGGCTCCCTTTAGGAGCGATGAGGATGGAGAGGATCGGGAATGAGGACATCGGAGGACAGACTGGGTTGTTTGAACGTGTCCAGAGGAGAGACAATGATTACACAACTAGAAGGATGCTGAGGTTGGAGCCACCAGGCAGCAGGCTGAGAAGAAGACCTAAAAGAAGATTTCTGGATGTGGGGAAAGAGGGCATGAAGTTAGCTGGTGTGAGGGAGAGGATGTAGAAGACCGGACTAGATGGAGACAGGTGGCTGGAAGTGGAAACACCTGATGGGACAAACCCAAAGAGAAAGATGATAAAGACCACGACCATTTCCAAAGTCAGGGGATGTTTTTGCAGCTTTACACTTACATGAACTCATTAAACATTTTTCAGATGGTGATTTCAGATCTCCATGTTTACAAGATGCACAAAGAAACAGCTCCACTGAAATCTAGACAGAGGCTAAAGAACAGATCCAGTTCCTGTGCTGTCTGAAATCCTTCCCACTGCACAACTGGAGCCAAAACCAATCATCAATAATTAGTTTCAATTAGGATGACCAGCAAAACACTCACCATGCGTATAAGTTATAACCCTTAAACAGGGTTTTCTAGATGGATGGTAAATGGCCCGTATTTGATACAGCGCCTTCTAGAGTCCTGGAACCCCCCAAGGCACTTTACCACACAATCAGTCATTCACCCATTCACACACACAATCACACGCTGGTGGGGATGAGCTATGATGTAGCCATAGCTGCCCTGGGCAGCACACTGATGGAGGCGAGGCTGCCAAACACTGGCACCACCGGTCCCTCCGACCACCACCAGCAGGCAAGGCGGGTTAAGTGTCTTGCCCAAGGACACAACGACAGCGACAGACTGAGCGGGGCTAGAACCTGCAACCTTCCAATTACGGGATAAGCACTTAACTCCTGTGCCACCGTCACCCCTATACGTATATGTGCATATATTTAACCCAAACTGGACTTTTTAAGCACTAGTAACACTAAAGCCATCACAGCTTTTCAGAGTGTACAAGCGTCCTCTGTTGGACCCCACTGTCATACCTTGAGATGTTGCCTGGTTCTCGGTCATGTGGCTGGTGACAGAAAACACGTACTGTCTCTTCAGACGTTCCCACTCCAGCTCGTCTTCATAGATTTTGGGCCTGAAAAACAGCAAAACACACCTTTCATCTTCAAACCACAAATAAAACCACAAAACACACTAGTCAACACACAAAAGTTAATGCCCGTTATGGTCGCATGGCTCCCTCTAGTGTCAGCAGTGATCATTACATCACCTTGGAATGCTCGTGCATTTGACATCCTGGTGTGGCACCACCACTTGAGATCTCACCTTGAAGACAAGAACATAGATCTTCTGTGTTAACAGCACACGACTCAACCAGGTGAATTTCTGATGCAGCAAAACAGGTGAGCCAACTTACCTGCACCTGTAAAGGCAGGGTGACATCATAAGAGGATTCCACAGCAGAGTTTTCAGGATTTGGGGCCTGAACGTCCAGCAAGGGCTCCTTATGAACTTCTGGCAGCAGACTCCCCTGCTCATCCATGGAACATGGCTGGCACACTGAAGACTCAAACATTGGTAGTCCAATAATCAGATCCTCCACTTCCCCTTCCAGAAAACTAACAGCTGGTGCCCGAATCTCCAGTACGTCCTCGTTTGGGATGGAAGAATTTTCCGGACTCCGTGGCTCTGGGGAGCATTCCCCCTCTTTGCCATTTGGGGAACAATCTGAGTTGTACCCTCTGTCCTCTTCCACTGCTCTCTGGCCAGTTTTTGCTCCTGTGCAGGTTTCTTCTTGCCCGTCTTTTTTCAATGGATTGAGGCACAAGATGTCATCAACTTCAGCGTCAAAGGTACGCGAGATATTTATGAGGTGCTCTTCGCTCCCAGGGCTGAGCTGCACAGCCTTCACCTCATCCGATGGATCTTTGTAGATCTCCGAGTCTGGCTGAGAGCTTGAAACTTGTTTATTCTTCAGTGGAGAGCGTGAGAAGGTAACAGGGGATGCTGAATTGCTTCTGGCAAGAGGGCTGCTGTGATCTATGAAGCAACCAAGGTCTGGGGACAGAGCACTCCCAGTGCACGGCTTCTTAAACGAGCTGCTTCTGGGAGTGGAATCATCATATTTTCTTTTCCTCTCACAGTCATTCACCAACTTCACTTGAAAATTTACAAACTGGCTAGGAGGGGGAAGATCGTCCTTTTGATCACACGTGACCTTCCGGGAATAGGCAGACTGAGGCTTCTGGTGGCCTGGTTCTGGTGGAGAAAGCCTACTGAATACAGTCTTCCAGCGGGACATGTTTGTTTCTGCAGAGAAAAGAAAATACATTGAGTTCTCTCTAAATCATGCATTTTGTAAATTAAGTGCTTGGCTAAAGAATATAATAGCAAAAATTACTAAATAATTCAAGCTCCAACTGCCTTTCCACTTTCCTGTACTCAGGGCATCTGCAGGTTTAAAGGAGCCAAATTTAAGACTTTTTAAGACCTTTTTTAAGGCCACTTTGACCAAATTTAAGCTATTTTTAAAATTTAATTTAAGCTATAATTTCCAGCTATTGCCTGGAACCGGTGCTAACCACATCGCGAACGTGGGATTAGCCATCCAGTTACCATTAAACTTCCCCATGGCGCAAGCTCACACTAGCTTAACCAGCTAATGTGCTCATCTTAAAATAGCCCCCTTTCACAACCAGCTGAATGTGTACGGTTCCGCTTACGCCAACATCGTACACAAAAAATCCTGAACACCAACTAGAAATTCACAAAATGTTTATAGAAATAAAAGAATCTTGTTTAGTGGGACTTTGGTAATTTAAGACCTTTGGAAATTGTATTTAAGGATTATTTGTCATTTTTTAAGGATTTTTAATGCCTTAAATATTGAAAAGCAAATTTAAGACTTTTTAAGGGCCCGCAGATAGGCAGACTTGAATTTAAACAACCAAAAGACCCTTTTACTACCTACGTCATCAAAAGTTGCGCCTGGCAACGAGAGTGAAGGCTTCCTCATTCACACTCGATACTAAAACAGCGTTTTAAACCCTTTGTTTTGAAGTTCTGAGCACATAAAAATGTCGGGTTGTTGCGTGTATGGATGCCAGAGTCGCTTCTCTTCAGGCAGTGGACTGAAACTTTACAGAATTCCGAAGGGAGCACATCCATTTCAACAAAATCGGAGGCGTCTGTGGCTGCAGGCCATCAAACGGGTAACTGCAGCCTTTTCTGTTTTTCCCATCCAAACACAAAGCTCAACTTTGAATACAATTGCTGCTGCGTGGCTGCAGCATGACCCAAGTCTGGAACATCAAAATGACAGAATTAAACAAATTTATACGTTTTATTTCATGCTTCAAATTAACATTTCATTCTAATTCATCTGTATTTTCCCACTGCATATTAGTATAAACTGTATTTCTCTAAAATTAACACGATTGTACTCTGAGCACGCTAAAAAAAGAAACCTATGCTATACTCACCCTGCCATGGCTGTGAAGACGTAGTTCTCTGGTTTGTTTACTATGACCCAAGCCTCATACATAGCAGTCTTGTGTACTTGTCTTTGGCTAGGAAGGACTTCTGCCTTCAAGACGCAAAACTGTCGTGATATTTTACTTTCTGTACGTGGCCACAGACAACATAGTTGTATGCATCTAACGATTTGTATGCCCGTAGCTTCTCACGTGTGTACTTACCGGGCCTCTCCACTAAAAACGTATATATATCGGGCCACTGGATATCTGGCCACGCACCTACATCTTCCACCCATTCCGTAATGCCACAGGGATCCGGGAGTCTGTTGCCATTCGTTAAAGTGAGTTTAATAATATAACATTCAAGATTTGCCGGTGATAACCCCGCGGCGTAGCTTTATAAAGCCTGAAACAACGCCATTCTCTGTCGCCAAGCTGCGCGCGCATTCTCGCTGACCTCATATGGTTTACAAACAGTAAAAGGGTCTATAGGTCAGAAAAATCTGAATACACAAACACTGTATTTAGACCACAAGTTACAAGCTTTAATCCACATAAAAATCCTTTCCCCGAGGTAAACAAACACCACTTTCTCCGTGAGCAGTAAACTACGAATGGTTTGTGTAGAGACAGAGCACAAAATCCAACCACTGGGTACAATTATCTAGCAGTTTTTGAGGTGTGTTTACACCATTTTTCCCCCAGAGACCAGTGAAGTTTTTAATGCCCCCTTTTTTTTTACATCATGCATGAAGGTGAAAACAAAACACCCAGGTGGAAATATACCCCAGAAAGCTGTACTACCCAGTCTTCTGGGTGGCAGGGGGATGCAAAATTTCTGATTGTTTGAGGATGCACAGCATTCCCAACGATGATCTATTACAAATGCAAATTGAAAAGAAAGAGGCAGCTGAATTACTCATTTGTTCCCTAGACCCATTTTGAAGTTGTTGAATAACAATAAGGCTTATAAGGAGAAGCATCAGAGGTTAAATTGACCTGAATATTTATGCTCTGATGCTAAACGCTTCAGGATCACAGCTTTGTACTCACTCTGAACTTTGTGAGACATGTTCACCTCCTTTCCTGTAAACAAGCCCTCAAATCCGTCAAACACCTGAAAAAGGAAAGAAAGCGTTCTCAAAGAGCAACAATTTCCTCATTAAATTATATCTATTCAACTAGACTACGATAAATAACGGAAATATGCAACAATGAAAAAATAACCTTTTCCCGTTTTATCAGATGTAAAAGTATATCTGAACACAAAAAAATCATTACTTGTTTCAGTAACATTTTAAATCACATAAAATAAAAACAAATGCACCTGGTAAATCATTTAAAACGTGTACCAGGTGTAAAGGAGATCAGAAACAAAAAGTCAAGTGTATCTGAACATTCTGGTTACGTTTAAATTATATGATTTTGATTAAAAAAACGAAAATTTGAAACTAAACAACTTTTGGATTAGCTTAAAACGACATTAGCTAAATGGTTAACATTCAGCACGTTCGGTGAGTTAAACGTACGGCTTTATTTAAATTAGTCGCACATTTAAACCACAAGGCATTTTATTTATTTTTCGATTTTACATTTTTACTTAGATAGCAGTGATTGTAATCCATTTTTAGCCCTGAAATAGAAAAGGCGGGGGTTTCAACAAACACCATCGGCTTTAGCAGCTAACAACTTAATGAAAGACGTGGTTCGGGCTAAGTTGGGTGACCTTTTTAAAAATTAAAATATAACAACACTTTTCTTAAAATAACACTTACCTCCTTTTGAAATGTGACGATGCATCGAGCAAACGCGGGTCTTTGATTGCCTGGCGCGCGACAAGCGGAAGTTATTAACGCTGCAGCGCAGATCGGTTCCCAGCCTTAAGGGGGCGCTGTAATTCAACGCTGGCACAGTTCTAGAAGACGCTGTTGGAGCACAAATTTAAAAAATGCGGGCAAACCAGTGTTTGCCAGCATTTCTTCCTTTTTTGTGGTGTTTAATCCTTATCCTTCAAATAAATGTTTTAACGATCGGGTATGTTCTTTTAGGAAGTTATTTTTCGATTTGAAAACATTTCATTTTGATCTAGTCTAAAACTATGCTGGTTAGTCTGAAGCATGATGTCTGTGCAGTGGCGGAGCTTGATATGTGCAACATGTGCGGCCGAACAGGGCGGCAGTCTGCAGGGGGCGGCATTTAATTTCCTTTTTTCTTCTTTTTTTTCTAAAAAAATATTTTTTTTAGCATCAACCAATACATAAACAAAACATAGAAATCGCATGTTCTTAATAATAATAGTGATGATAATAATAATATTTCTGTAATAAAAGCACAACAAAGCGTAACCCATATCAACTACTCCCTGTCACATGACCCACGTCAGCTGATGTGAGGTCCCTCTCCTGATTGGCTCCTTCCACGTCGCGGCAAACATGAAAGCTGCTCCTGCCGTGGCTGTAAGCTTGTTGCTTGTAGAACGGCGTTGGAAAACAAAGCGTTTTTCTCCCCTCAATTCATTTATACTCTCATTTTACCTCAGCGGTAAGTGTTCTTAACATCTACCAATAACACCCTTTTACTTGTCAGTGACCAGTCGATCGTTTTCGCTATAAAAATGACCTTGTTCGGCGGAGTTCCCACCGCGAGCAGAACTCCGGTTCAAAAACGCTGTTTTTGAAACACTTTTATTTACTTAAGCACTTTAGTGGGCTTAACTTGAAACCAAGAGCAATCAAATGATTATTGTTATGTGTTGCCTTGAATTCGGCTATGCTGTCTGTCAGACAGTTGTTTTCCTTTATTGTTGTTTTTGTATTTGTTTGTAGCAAATGCTACTGGAATGCATAGATTGAGCTACGTAGCCAAGATGATTAATAATTGACCTGTTGTACATTCGTGATATGTTTACCGGTAAACTGAATAGAACTTGATGTGTTAATGAACGTTTCTCTGGCCTACAGGTCAGGTTTTTTTCCCCATGTTGAACTGATCTTCATATTGAAGTGGCGAGCTGGTAGGACCATTCTTTCTTTTTGGAATCGGGAAATGAGCTATTATTTACCCCATGAAAAACGGAGCGGCAGCGGGCCGCTGGAAGTGCCCTGCTAGTATGATCCCGTTTAAACTGTAAACTGCCATAAAATAAAAACTATAATAGCTAGAGCGGTCTTTTTTTAGCTGAAAGTTGAGACTCTTGCCTTTCAGCACATCTGTACTGTACAAGTCGATGATACCATCATGTTGCGTTAAGTGTGTCTATTTCAGTAGAACTTTGACAAGTGGTGAGAAGGTGGCCAGGAGCTGGATGTTGTGTTCAGTTAGCAAACGTTATATATACACTCCACACAATTTGAAACAAAGTTGTGTGTGTGTGTGTGTGTGTGTGTGTGTGTGTGTGTGTGTGTGTGTGTGTGTGTGTGTGTGTGTGTGTGTGAAGGGAGGGGGGGGAGCGTCACAGGGGGATCTCGCACAGGGCGCCATTTAGGCCAGCTCCGCCTCTGTGTCTGTGGTCTGAAGAAAGGGGTTTTGTTTTGTTTTGTCTAAGTTCTATTTGGTCTAATTATTTCTGATATCATGAATCATTCAAAACTCATAGCTGCTTTATGTACACAAAATGTAGAACATTTGTTTGATTTTATTTTAGTAATTTTTCTATTAAAACTGTGCCACAAAAAATCCATATTGATGTCATTTAAATTAAGCCTATGTTTGAATTGAAATACTTTTTTCATAAAAAAATTATTTCCAATGTGAAACTTCACACATTCGTTCCATAACAGGCAGCCGTAGCAAAGTTCCTATATTAAATCTGGCTGTGTATAAGCAAACTGGGTTTATCTTTTGATGCTTAAGATGCATATGTCAGTGTGATGTTGGTGCAAAAAATACTTTCTATAAAACAAAAATCAAGTTTTATACTTGGAGCGCTTTTATATGTAGTTAGAAAAACTGCCAGCAGATGACAGAGTTCTGCTCCATTTACATGCTTCTCTTGCCAGATTTCATAAAAAAGGTTTCGTTGAAGTTTTTCCTTTTTTTCCCCACTAATCACTTTTGTTGCACGTTTACAGAAAATCATCATTTCTTTCCACAAACTGCAGCGTACACAAACACTGTCACATAACTTAACATCTGCTGATTGTAAAAGGATGAACAGTTTTGCTCTAAAGTAATATTTTGCCTAGGGCTGCAACTAACGATTATTTTCATAATCGATTAATCTGTCGATTATTTTTTCGATTAATCGGTTTGTTATTGTTTAGCTATTTAACCTATACAAGTGATGGATGCATTTCAGTTAAGAACAAAAAAACATAAGAGAATTGTGCAGTTGACTGCAATCTATTTTATTGCACATGAACACAGTCAGCAGTATAAAATGAGCTAAACAGTGCAAAATATCAGTCCAGAATAATTTTTAGCATTAGCTGGAAGCCTGCTCCTTCCACCATGGATAGTGGCCTCATGTCTTTTACCAGCATGTTTAGAATAGAGTTTGTAAGTGGTATGAATTGCTGGGGGGTGAGTGTCTTCTTCCCCATGTAGTTGTCCATCGTTGCTTGTTTTTTTCTGCATAAGAAACACAAATAGACTGAAATAAGTACACATATAAAATAAAGCAGCACACACACTACAACACTAAATCAATATTATATTATTTGAATTAATTAACAATATACAGTGATCATTTATTTTGAGGGTTACGTTCTACAAAATAGCCCGCAACAAGAGATATTCAGAAAAAAAGTAAAACATTTTTACTATTAAAAAGCTCTAAGTAAGAAGCTCATGAGGTTTTTACTTTGAGTCGGGAGTGTTTAAATTAGCCAGAGAAATGTGAAAAATGTTTATTTTGTGTAATACTGTTTAAGAAACATGATAAAAATGTGTTGTGAGGCGTTTTACAGCGTTAGATAGTAAAACAGCCTTTTAATAGTAAAAAAAATGACTTTTTCTGAATTTCTCCTGTATTTAAAAATTGAAAGTGTACAACTATGCCGCGTTATATTCACCTGGACACAGCTTGTCTGTATATTTTTCTCCGCGGAGTTGTCCTTTTTTGAATGAGGAACATAGTTATGGGTTTGTGCCGTTTTTCTCTTAACGAGAACATTCTTATAAACAGACGTGCTAAATTTGGCAAGCGCATGATACACAACACGGAGGAGATTCACGATTGCATCTAGTCAATCAGAAGTAGAACACCGCAGACTGACGCGGCAAAAAAACATGTTTAACATCCACTATAACGAACTCGGCTAAAACACTAAGTCCAGCTTGTTTATTTTCTGTTACTTACCGGGCTGGCTCTTCCAAATGACGGCTCACTTGACCGCGGTGCTCTTCCTCTGCTGCATCAGCCCCCACATGCTTTCGTCTCAAATGTGCTCCCATACTCGTGAGGTTTTTGTCCGGGGTTTCTCTTCAGTTTTGTCGCTTCTATTTTTCTTCCGTATTTCCTCTTGTTCCGCCATCTCTCACAGCAAGATGAGCGTTAGTAACGTGACACGTCATGAAAACCGAGGGCACCCATTGGCTCATTTCTTCTTCTACGGCTCCACTGGTAGATCAGTGGCTCATTACTGCCACACACTGGCGGCAAATTTAACAGCTTGTAACCGATGTCAGATTGTGGTAAAAAATAGACTTTATGCGGTAAAATATGATTATTAAACAACTAATCGATGACTAAAAAGTTGTTAACTATTTTAATAATCGATTATAATCGATTAAATCGATTAGTTGTTTCAGCTCTAATTTTGCCCTTATTAGCGGGCTTGGTCATAGAGGTCTCAGCAGCTTCATCCATCTGTAAAAAATTACCTCAGATTAAAACTTTCTCTCATAGCAATGCTCATAATCTGGATTGCGCTTTTGAGGACAACATCAAAGCAGTTTCTGATGCCTAAAACTCCCATCTGACTCAAAACAAAGGAGGCTTCCACTGTTAGAGCTGAAAAAATCTACAACTTCGTTTTTGAGCATTATTTTTCTTGAGTGGAGCTTGATACCACCTGACCTTCCACCAATCAGAGTCTGATCCTTGAACATTTTAGGTGAGGACAAAACTCTGGGTGTAAATATTCTGTAGCTCTAGGAAACTTTGTAACCCTGAAATGAAAACCAGTTTCTGAAGTTTTATAAAATCATTATCAATCAGAATTCGACTGTTTTCATTATTTAGATGATGCCCTCAGAGAAACGTGAACTCAGCGTCTAAGAAGCTATTTCCTGTCACAAGTCACTCCACCACGATGTTTACCTTTATTGGCAGGGAAGAACCACCAGGTGGTAATGAAGTACACCCGTCTAACCACAGGAATGAAAAAACTGTGTGACACTGTTTTCAGTCAGAGCTTCTTGATTTATTTAGACAAAAGCAAAAATCACAGGTTAACAGCTGATTCTGATTTAATAAAGCAAATCACTAAAACTAAAGAGAGTAAAAATAATGTTATGAAGATACAAGAATAAAATAGAGAATATTATAACATTAATGCAACTTTAGTGTTATTATGATAATCTATACTTATATATTATCTGTAAAGTCCTAAAACCCTTAAATAACACTCTCTGGGGTTGCTTTGCAGGTCTATAAGCTTCCAGAGCTTATTATAACATTACTAATGGCTTCAAAGTTTGTCCGCTTCCCCAGAAACAAGTGCATCATTCATCCATGCATCATTTTGTCAGAGGCTTCTCAGTAATGGAGCAATTCTCACAGCTTTTTAAATGCATGTTGGATTTCAAAATAAAATGCTAGCATGATAGGTGTTTTAGTGCAGAAGATAAGAGAAGGCTTTTAAAGTTACATGATGTCAAGCACAAGATAAACCCCTTACCGACCTATTAAAATAAAATAAACGAGATAGAAACGCTTCCCCTGACTTTGGTTAAAAATATAAATATGGGTTTTGGGGTAGAGTACCTGTCAGAACATGTTTCCAGAACATGTTTAATTTTGGCCCTCTT